GGAGTGAAGTGTGCCTAACTGCCTTCTACTCATGGGGTAAACAGAAGCTAATTACCCTCTAATGGTGTTTATCCAAAGACCCTTGTCCTTTGATGTACTAAATAAAAGCCTGGAGTACAGGCTTCTGGTGGCCAAAGTCAGCTGCCATTAATTTGAACACTCATCCTTCGAATGAGTGTTCCAGACACCCCAGCTCACTCTTCCACTGTATTCTGCGTTTGAGTGTCTATAATTCATCCGTCGCTGAGTCAGGTCTGCAGGACAGACCCACACTAGTAGTGACCCCGACAAAGAGTGTCTGGATATCTGTGTATTTATTAAGAATTCTCCTTCATTTCTTATTCTTGAAACCATACTTTTATAGAACAAACCACACACCTAAAATGACATTATACCCCATTAATTATTCTACTACTATACACTCTAAGAAGACAAGAACTGTGTCTCTTCATAGAAGGCATTGAAAAACATAGCTACAGACTATCTGAACAAATGAATTAACACCTTCATATCTTTTCATTCTTTATGAGCTTATATTACTTTATGACATTGAGTACAGCTATAAAAACTGCCTTAAAATCCTTGTCTACAAATCCCAACATCTGAGTTATCATAATGGTATAAGTCTTCAATACTTGTCTTCTTCCCTGAAAATTAGTATCTTTCCAGATTTCTAAATTTTAAATTATATTCTGGCTATCAGGAGAGCTTTTATGGAGACTCTGGATCATGTTATGTTCTTGCAAAGATTATTAATTCTTGTTTTTGTTGCTCTGGTGAGTAACTTGACTTGCCTCAAAGTAAAATAAAACTTTGTCTTCGGTGGCAACTCAAATATCAGTTCAGTTCTTTTATTGGTAGACTGGCTGTTTTCAGTCTTCCCTATGAATGTATAGTTCAACTGTGGTTGCCTCAATTCTGTCTTTTGGTTCTTTATGCCAGAAGTACCAAAGATTTCCACAGAAGTGTTAGCTGCTCTGTGTGCACTGCCTTCATCCTGCTCTCAGGCTAAAAGCAACAAAATATAGTAAACTCCTGCTATGTCGTTTCCTTCATGCAAAGGTTGACATCTCTGCACAATCTGCCTACTCTTTTTCACTCTATAGGGTCTTGAATTTTCCAGAGTTTATAGTTTAATCTGTATGAGGGTTTCTTTCATAATATACATGATAGATATTAGGTTCAAAAAGGTAATATGACTTGTCAAAATCCATAGAGCTGGCTTTAATGCTGTAGTCATAACCATAAAAACAAACACAGCAGCCAGGCACAGGGGCTCACACCTATAATTCCAGCACTTTGGGAGACCAAGGTGGGAGGATTACTTGAGGTCAGGAGTTTGAGACCAGCCTGGCCAACACGTCAAAAGCCCATCTCTACTACAAAAAAAAAAAAAAAAATTAGCCAGACATGGTGGCATACAGCTATAATTTCAGCTACATGGAATACTGAGGCATGAGAATGGCTTGAACTCAGAAGGTGGTGGTTGCAGTGAGCTGACATCGTGCCACTGCACTTTAGCCTGGGTGAAGTGAGACTCTGTCTCAAAAAAGAATAACGATGTATTAATAGATATTATCATTTTGTATTCTAATGCAAGATTTATTTTACCCTAGATTACTGTCTTCTCGGTCAACATAGCCTATTGTGAGTTGCCCCCTCGGTTTAAGCATACGCTAGAATAAACTTTAAAGATGTTCCAGTGAGTTCCAACTGCATGAAAAATGCTTCCGTTTGTTGCTGAGGTTTAATTCAGTTTATTCAGTGACACAATAATAATTCCTAAACACCTAATCAGCAGTTAGTGGCCACAAGAATGGACACATAGTGATATTAGATGACAGACCCAAACAAGTACCAACAATAAAACAATTTACACCCACTTCTCAATTTTTATAAAGTACTGGCCAATGAAATCTAAAAATCTAGGAATCACCACATCTCATCTTAGTGAGAAATTTTACAGGCCTAATTTCCTTTCTTTACAAATCGAAATGCTACATTAAATAATTCCTCTGGGCTCTCATTGCTCAGTGATTTCATTCTATTATGTCCACAATGACACAGATTACCATTTGGATTGCCCATCTATTCAGCTAGCAAGTCTAGAAAAGTAAGACAAAAGAAAAAGAGCAAAACTGAAAGTTTGTGAATCCATTGAAATGTATACGTAGCTTTTAGGATAATCACCAAATAATTTTTTCTTAATTTTTCTCTGTTTTCAGAATGCTATGGGGCTGCTGTGTAGATACAATCATAATCACTGTCTTCACATTTCGTTTTCTAGGGATAAATTTTCCTGAAAAAACTAGAGGTGACTGGCTCATTGCATGGAGGTTTCACTAATGCCAATGTTTTTTACTGGGAAATGGCTTCTTGTCTTTTTCTTTTCTGGTTGTTTTTTGCATTCCCTGAGGATCTGGTCATCAAGTGCTTATGAGTGATTGGATTGAAAAAACTAATGATGTAGGATTTTTTTTCCTCTGTGACTTTGCAAGCCAGGGATCCCCAGCCAACAACACCCAACCCAGGCCTCACTCAACCACGCTGGCATGCCCCAGCTTGCTTGTGTTAGCACTTGTACCTGCATTCAGCAGTTCTCAAGCTGTTGTACCATGCCCAAGAAGAATGAGGATACATGGGACATTGAAAAATGAGGAGGACAGAGAAGAATTTTATTGAGTAATGAGAACAGCTTTCAGTGGAGACGGGACATGAGGTTGGTCCTCCTACCTGAAGGTGAGAATGTTCCCCGTGTGGCTGAGTCTGGGGCCTTTTATGGACTCAGAATGGGGAGTGTGTGCTGATTGGTTTGTGAGTATGCAAAAAAGGTTAAAGCAAAGATACCACTCAAAGTTGGGCACAACAGTGTAGAAAGCCAAATAGGAAAAAGGAGGTATATGTAAAATAGGTGAAGGGTGGGAATCAATCAGAGGAAAGTGCACCAAATAGGAAGACGAGTTCTCAATCTGGTCCAAGGATTTCACTTGTAGCTTGGCTTTCAGGCTTTAAACTGTCTTCAGCTTGGAGGTGGGGTTTCACCAGGGACCTGCCCCTATCTGCCTAGGCATTTGGCTGCATCCTGCCACTCTCACTAAGAGCCCTGCTGATAAAAGAATAATGCATTTGCCAAATCCTAGGATTAGACTGATCACTCTAATTTACAGCCATGTACTTACAGGGATACAGTAAAATACCCTAATAACTTATAGACAATGGTATCCCTTTGAGAGTCAAATTGTAAGTTCAACATTTAGAGGATGAGTCATGCTATTCTCAGGAAGAGCAAAACTAGGATATATTCTCTAAAAGATATAATTTTTAAAACAAATCTAGCATTAGAGTAAACATTATTTATTGAATGCATATTCTTTGCTTGGAATTTTAGATATATTATTTCAAAATAACCTTTTGAACCAAAGGGTACTGTAATCTCTGTTTTGCAGATTAAAAAAAACTGACACTCAGAGAGGATTTATAATTTGTCCAAGGTCATTTGTCTTGCCAACATCAGTGTCAGGAATTAAATGTCACTTTGTTCAACTTCTAAGTTCATACACTCCTTTTTGGTTGTTATAAGGGCTCTCAGAAAGCTATAACCATTTGCGGGCATTTTTGCCCCCACAAGGAAAGTGACAACAGTGAGGTGTGATTTCTATGAATCTAGAAAAGGATGAGCCAGATAGCCCAATGAGAGTTTATCAGGCTTTTCCACGGCCTGAATATCACTCAAGTCTATTTCATCTTCTTTGCACTGATCCTTTGCATTCCAACTCTGGACTTCCAAACTATATAGGCCAAGCCCTTTTTCACGTCATAGGTGAAAGTCATAAAACACTGTGTCCTTGGCATTCTTACTTTGTAGGCACTGGCATTCATTCTGTAACTTATTCCAACCTTGGAATCTATTTCCCAGAAGGTTGCTTATCTTATCTGTGACAACTTTTTTCATTGCTTTTTGGAACCGTTATCCGTCTCTGCCTCTTTTGTCTTAATCTGAGCTCCAAGCCACAATCATTCTTCTCATGACATGCACTTCCAACCACTGGAGAAACAACCCATTCTGACCCAGGTTTACCTAAACCAACCCCTAAGACTATACTCACAGTGTCTTGTCCATGCTACCAGACTAATCCTTCTTAAACGTAAATCTCATCTTGACCTCTAGGTCTGTATCCACATTTATAAAACAAGATGGCTGAACTAGATGATCTCTAAGATTACTCTATGTTCTAAAACTGCATAAACTCCTCTCATATATAAATGTGCATCTTATTTTAGTGTTCTCTAAAGAGTGGGTGAGACACCAAGCTATGTTCTTTTAACATGCTTTCTTTTCAAAAAAATTTTACAGGAAAAAAAAAACAGCTTTTCACTCAAGGTGTCAGTTATTAAAATCTGTCACCATCCAATTTCAATATAGACTATTTAATCACAGAAGTTCTTTTAAGTGACCTTGTCATTCCCACTCCATTTGATTTGTTATAATTTACATCCTTCGTACTAGAAAAGAGAAGGGTTTCTCTCTGAAGATGTTTCCTGAGCTTAGTGGACCCATGGGAAATGTAGAATTTCTTGTGAAATGCAAACACTGTTCAATTTTATTTCCATTTTTAAGGTTACTGTAGTGACAGAATGCCCCAAAATCTTGCTGTTATGGCATTTTGTTTCAAGGAGTAATGGCTACAGGAAGATAATTTCAGAAAAGTGATATGAATGCGATATCAAAGTTTCCCAGAAGCTATGGTAGTGAAGCCTTGGTAGTGAAGTTATGCCACACTATCATCTCTCTTCAGCTAAGGATATTCTCCCAGGAATATGCATGGCTGGATAGCCTTAAACTTATTCAACTTGGTACAGAGGACAGTTTACCATGAGCTGATTCAGACATCCCATGTAAATATATATATTTTTATAACTTATTTCATCCTAATGCCAGGGTTGTTCTTTGATTTGGGTGATTGTATATGATTCAGTCATAGCATAGACCAAACATCAACTAGTCAATCTGATTAATAACTCTATGTCTTCATAGTTGACAAACCCAGCCCTCATACATGTGTGTAGAACATTAATATGTCTAACTTTAATATATATAACATTAATAATATGAAGAATCATTTTCAATTACTTGACATAACTTAAAGAGACTCACTGAACATCTCCTCATACAGATTTCAGGTTGCGAATATCACTTTTGTTTTGTTGTTGTTGTTGTTGTTTTGAGATGGAGTCTCACTGTCAACAGGCTGGCATGATCTCAGCTCATTGCAACCTCCACCTCCCGGGTTCAAGCCATTCTCCTGCCTCAGCATCCTGAGTGGCTGGGACTACAGACATACGCCACAATGCCCAGCTTTTTTTTTTTTTTTTTTTGTATTTTTAGTAGAGACAGGGTTTCACCATGTTGGCCACAATGGTCTGGATCTCCTGATCTAGTGATCCGCCCACCTTGGTCTCCCAGCATGCTTAGATTACAGGCGTTAGCCACCATCCCTGGCAGTGAATATCGTTTTTAAGTATCATCATCTCTACCGTCTGGATTAGACATTACAAATAAAATTTTAGAGAATGGTGATGTCAGTATTTAAGATATAACTTATGAAATTTAAAAATACTACATACATAAGGGCTGGCTTAAAGAATAGGAAAAAACTAAGTTTTCAAAATTGTGTTTCCCTCCTCAAAATATCAGATAGCTTAGTTGAATGCAATGTTTAGCTTAATTTCATTGGTTTGCTTACTTCTAAATTATTTTTTCATTTTTGTTTCTTAATTCCTCAGTGCCCTTTGTCCACCCCTTAACCTGTTTTAATTCTATTTGATTGAACTAAAATACCATCTTTTTCTCAAGTTTCTCTGACAAAAAGGTAGAAACTTTTCATAAACTCTATCGTTACTACTTCTGTGGTATTTACCACTCCTAGTGGTTTAGCTACTTTTATCATGTTTTGCTATTTTCTCTAATTAGACTGCAAACTCCTCAGACGGTCCCACTTCACATCCCCCATAACACAAAGCACAATGGTTGTGTTTCTGAGAGGTACCTAGAGAAATTAACATATGCAAGGGGTGGATATGGGAGCTGAAGGCTTATCCTACACTTTCTTAATGCAATCACATCAACCAATTGTATCAGGTGAACTCTAGGGTCTTAAAAAAAGTAAAGAGGCCTATTATTTAGGTCCACTGAGTAAAGACAAACTCCTAGCCCCAAATAAGAGTATTCATACTGTTCATGTTAAATATTTTATGGGTCCCCTTATTTTGCCCAAACTTATTTAGCTTTATGCCATCAGAAGCGGAATCTCACTTAGCAATAGTTTATTTAATCTAAGGCACATTCATATCAAGAAAGGGTCAAGTATGTTAAGAAACAATCTTGCTAACAGTAATTAAAATATTACTATGATCAGGGTTTTCAGATTAATGTAACATAGTTACCTTTGCTAAGTTACCTCTGATGCACATTTGTAAACAAACTTGGCTTTTTTTCCCCCTTCTTTTCTCATTTCCAAGGCATAGAAACCTCAAATAAGACTTGACATTTCCTAAAGACCTTAGCACATAGTATGTGCTCAGTAATATGTAGTCATTAATATATATGCACCATTTTTCATGTTGTTACACATGCATTCAATAATTCCTATACTAGTCAGTTGGTGCAAAAACAGAATGAGGGGAGTGGCCAAGATGGCCAACTACAGGCAGCTAGTGTGGGTGGCTCTCATGGAGAGGAAGAGAAGGGGCGAGTAAATACACCTTCAATGGAAACATCCACTGGGACTCACATTGAAACTAATCAAGGAAACAGCTTGACCCACAGAGAACACAGAAAAGCAAGGTAGGATGATGGCTCACCTAGGGGCAACATAGAGCCAAGGGAAGCTCCCCCACCCAGGGAAGTGTGAGTGAATGTGTGACCCTGAGATCCCAGGCTTCTCCTATGGATCTTTGCAGTCCTCAGGTCTGGAGATCCCTTTGTGAACCCATTGCACCAGGGACTTCAGTCTGACACACAGAGCTGCATGGAGTCTCAACAGCAAAGGTCTGCAGTCTCCGCTTCCATGGCACCTCTCAGGATAAGACCACTAGCTTACAATTTCAGCCAGCAACCAGTAGGAGTATTGCACCTCTCTGGGATGGAGCTACCAGCTGGAGGGGAGGGCTGCCATCTCTGCCGTTTGTACAACTTAGCCATTACAGCCTTTGGGCTTTGGAGAGTCCAAACCAACTAGGGGTGAAACGGATCTCCTAGCACAGCACAGCTGCTCTACAGAAGTCTGCTCTATGTGATCAGACTGCTTCTTTAAGTCTGCCTGTAATCCTGTTCCTCCTCACAGGGCAGGACCTTCCTACTGGGACATCCAGCTACCCCTACCACTGTTCTGCAGCCAAAAGACATATAAATTCCCCCGGGACAGAACTCCCAGAGGGAGGGGCAGGCTGTTTGGGCAACTTAGCTGTTTCAGCCTTCAGAGTGTCTAAGGAAACCTTGGGCTGAAATGGACTCCCAGCATAGCACGGCTGCGAAATGTGGCCAGGCTACTTTTTAAAGCAAGTCCCCAAACCCATTCCTCCTAGCTGGGTGAGACTTCCAACTAGGGTCACTAGCCACCTCCTACAGGACTATTCGGGCTGGCAGCAGGTCCTTACCTCCCTGGGAGGAAGCTCCTAGAGGAAGGAGCAGGCTACCATATTTGCTGTTTCTCAGCCTTCACTGGTGACACCTCCAGGTACTGGAAAATCTAAGGCAACTAGGGACCGAAGCAGGTCCCCTGCATAGCAAAGCAGCCCTGTGGAAAAGTGGCCAGACTGTTACATGGCTACCCATTTCCCGTATCTCCTCACTGGGCAGGTCTGCCAGGCCTGGTCCTTTAGCTACCTGTGACCAGAGCTATTGAATGAGTAGCACCTTGGCAACTCCCCGGACAGGGCCTCCCGCGGCACCTGAAAACCTCTCTGCCACTGCCTCTGCAGTGGAATGGTCCTTGCTACCCTCAGACTAACAAAGCAAGGACAGAGCCAGAAAGCCCCCACAAGCACTCTGCTCTTCTGCTAACACTGACGGAATCCTCCACTCCTGCTTGTGGGGCACAGAGAAGGCATCCAGACCTGCTCTGGCCACCACCCTGCCCCAAACCAACAGCACCTCCAGTGCAACAGTGTACAGAGTATCCAGCAGGGGTCCCCCACTCCCCTCATAACTACCTTGTCCCTGCCACTGTGACAGATGCCCACAGAGGCAGGAACCCCTGCATTCACTAGCAGTCAGCTGCAGCCGCCACACCTCAGTCCCCGCCCCCATAGTGCAGGAGACTCCAAACCTCAAGAAGCTAGAGAACCTAGTCAGGGCCCATCCAAGTATCCCAGAATTAGAATTAGAAATCAAGATGTAGAAATTCAATCAAAACCATACAATTACATGGAAATTGAATCTGCTCCTGAATGACTTTTGGGTAAATAATGAAATTAAGGAAGGTATCAAGAAGCTCTTTGAAGCTAATAAGAACAAAGATACAACATCCCAGAATCTCAGGAACACAGCTAAAGCAGTGTTAAGAAGGAAATTCGTAGCACTAAGTGTCCACATCAAAATTTAGAAAGATCCCAAGCTAACAACCTAACATAACAACTAGAAAAACTAGAAAACCAAGAGCAAGCAAATAAATCCTAAAGCTAGCAGAAGGTAAATAATTACCAAAATCACAGCTAAAATGAAGAAGATTGAGACATGAAAAACCATTCAAAGGTCAACAAATCCAGGAGCTGGTTTTTTGAAAAAATTAATAAAAGACCGCTAACTAGACTAAAAAAGAAAAAAACACAATCTCACGCCAGGCAGAATGGTGATTATTAAAAAGTCAAGAAACAACAGACGCTGACGAGGCTGTGGAGAAACAGAAACACTTTGACACAGTTGGTGGGAATGTAAATTAGTTAAAACATTGTGGAAGATAGTGTGGCGATTCCTCAAAGACCTAGAGGCAGAAACACCATTTGATCCAGTATTCCCATTGCTGGGTATATATCCAAAGGAATATAAATCATTCCATTATAAAGATACATGTGCATTTATGTTCATTGCAGCACTATTCACAATAGCAAAGACATGGAATTAGCCCAGATACCCATCAATGATATACTGGATAAAGAAGATGTGGTACATATGCACCACGGAATACTATGCATCCATTAAAAAATAAATGAGATAATATCATTTTCGGGAACACTGATGGAGCCAGTAGCCATTATCCTCAGCAAACTAATGCAGGAACAGAAAATCAAATGCTGCATGTTCTCACAAGTGAGAGCTGAGTGATGAAAACACATGGACACATGGGGGGAACAACACATACTGGTCTGTGGGGGTGCCGGGGAGGGAGAGCACCAAGAAGAATAGCTAACAGACACTGGGCTTAATTCCTTGGTGATGAGTTGATCTGTGCAGCAAACTACAATGGCACATCTCTACCTATGTAACAAACCTGCACCTCCTGCACATGCCACAGAACTTAAAAGTTTAAGGAAAAAAGAAGAAAAGAGAAGATTCAAATAAACAGTTGGAAATGACAAGGGGGTTATTACCACTGACCCCACAGAAATACAAACAACAACAGAGAATACTATAAACACCTCTATGCACATAAACTAGAAAATCTGGAAGAAACTGGTACATTTTTGGACATATACACCCTTCCAAGACTGAACCAGGAAGAAACTGAATCCCTGAACAGACCAATAATGAGCTCTAAAACTGAGGCAGTAATACATAGCCTATCAACCTAAAACAACTCAGGACCAGACATTGACAGCTGAATTTTACCAGATGTACAAAGAAGAGCTGGCACCATTCCTACTGAAACTGTTCAAAAAAAATTGAGATGCAACTTCTCCCTATTTTATGAGGCAAGCATCATCCTGATACCAAAATCTGGCAGACACACACACAAAAAAAGAGACTTCAGGCCAATATTTGATGAACATCAATACAAAAATCCTCAACAAAATAC